TTTCTTCCAGGTAGCTACTCCAAGAGACTGTGATCCATGTTCAGTGTAAAAACTTGCATATTCAAACCAAGCAGATGCTTTCTTTAGGCAGTGCTGTATTGAATGGCAAATCAATGGCCCAGCACCCAAAATTGTGTGGGGATTCTGAAGGCGATATCTGTGATAGAATGGATGGTATCTCATGGATCTAGAGAAAGAACCCAGGAAAAACTATTTCAAGTCTTCCCCCGTTCAGCTCTTAGACCACAGCTTGTAGTCACGCCAGTAAAACCAGTTGTGCTGCTGTTACTGCATTGTTTGCTGGGGATGGTTTTGCAAATTGTGTTGTACAGAATAACTCATGATCTGTGTCTGTGCTAGGATCGTTGGGCTGGGGAGATGTACTGATGCTGCCAGTGCAGATGTGATCCTTGCCTTGGAATATGAAATGTTAAGTGCTGGAATGGTAGAAGGAGGTGGACTCTTCCAGAGTGGATGTGGTTGTGGTCGAGTGCAGGTGGAATACAGCAGTCAGCATTTCATAAGTTAACTTCATGTTTCTCTGTCTGCCAGGAGTTTTGTTACTGCTGTGCTGACCCAAAATATGTACCTGCCTCCAAAACTAAATTTGCTAATGTCATCTAACTTTAATGCTTGCTTGGTCTTTGGTGCCCAGTTCAGTTGTGGTGGATGTTTCATGTCCCAAGGAATTAGAACAGCCCTGTCTGACTGTTTATTGCTGGTCAGACAGGCAGTGAAGTGGGGCATCAGTGCTTGCCTTGGGTTTCCCAGTGTAGTCTGAAGTGTTCTCCTGTTTTCAGAAATATATTAGATTTGCATACTTAAATTATGCAAGTGCATCTCCATGTCTTTGTTTATGAATCCAAAAGACAATCTAAGCAAGTGTTCAAAAAAACCTGGTTGAATTCTCTTACAAATCTTTTTTTTCATGATGGGACTTAGAAGTCTTTTCTTCCATCTTCCTTCCCTCTTCCAAGAAAAACCTCCCAGGCAGAGACTTCAAAGTGAAATAGCCAAGTTGTGTCACCAGTGGTGATGAGCATGCTGAAACAGCATGAAGCAAGCTGGTGACACAGCTTGGGTAGGAGCTCTCTCCATCATTTCCATTTGGTTCCCAAGCTGCCAGGTGTGGAAGGTCCAGCAGGAGGCCAGCAGAGTAAAACCACTCTGTGGGTATGTGCTGCTCAGCCCATTGCTGCTTCCCTGCAAGAGACATGGGATAGAGGTTTGTGCAGCAGCCATCACATCTCTGCTGCACGTGGCATGATGCAGAGTGGAGGAAAGGGTTTGCCTCTCCCCACCACAGTTTGTGCAGGCTCTCAGGGTAGCCCGAGGCTGAGATTCACTCTGGTCACTTTGTGCTGGATCAGCTGCTGCTGGATTGTGCAGCTTTCTTACCCTTTTATGGGAGCATATTTAGGTATTTAATACCCAGGTATTAAAGGATAGATGCTTTGAGTTCTTTGAAATAACTTTTTGTTGACCTCTTAAAAAAAAAGTATTGTCTGTATTGGGAAAGGCTGTGTGGCATCCTGGGAACTAATCCTTTACTGACCTGGTAGTCAGAGGCAGGAGAAGGGCCTGCTGACAGCACCTGGCACCGACAGGAAGTGCTCCAAGACACGACAAAGCAGCAGCAGATGCCAATGGAGCTGAATTCTGGGTGGCATAACTTGCCACCCAGACTATTATTGGACTATAGTGGGGAACCTCAGAAGTCAAATAAGCAGAGCAGCAGAGCCTCAGACAGAGCACATAATGCTGTGTGTTTCTGATTCTGAGATCGTTCTTTTGGGGGCCAGTATATAAAGTAGGGGCTGAAAGACCTGTGCTGATGTAAAGGCCTGGAATAGCTTTGTGGTTATCAACCCTGCAGCATTATCTGGAATTTCGGATGGAGAGCTGCCCTTCCTGTGTGTGGAACTGTGCTGGCCAGCAGGCTTCCCTGGAGAGAGGCCCTGCTGCGGGATCAGGGAGTGGGGTGGCTGCTGATGGGGCCCATCTCTGCTCTGGCCCTGAGAGTCTCCCTTCTCCTGAGGTTTCTCCTGGTCACTGGTTTGTTAGTTCAGGCAGAGCTGAGTAACTGCTTCAGTGGTGAACAGGTGGTCTCTTCAGTGCAGTCAGTCCAATGCAACAAGGGCTGGAATTCAATCCATTATTCATTTGTTTGCCAGCCATGCCCTGGCTTGTCTGTTATCTGTCTGTAGTGGATCCGCTGGCTCTCTCAATCCATACATGACTTCAACTTTTTACCTCTGACCTTCAGCAGTTTGGGGCAGGTGGCACATTGGAGTTGATAAATGAGTCCAGCATGGTCGGGAATAACATCTGCTCACCCCAGTGTCTGTTTCCTCAATAGCTGTCCAAGTGCCACTGTAATCATTGTGCTCAATAAATCCCCATTTTTATAAGCACAACAGCAAAAAGTCTTGGGAAGCGTAGCTTGTCCTCCCAGCCTCATCCTGGGGATGAACTGCAGGGTATGTTTGCACTGTGCATGTGTTTCCTTTCATGTTTGAGCGATGAGTTCCCCTCACTCTTTCTGGTTTGCAGGCAGTTTGAAGAAGAGATGGATCCTTTCCTCTCCCGGGATCGAATTTACCCCTGGGGCACATCTCTGTAATTGCAGGCAGCACACTTATCTCTGTGCAGGATGCTGGTGTGATGGGACTCTGATCAGACAGCTGTGAATGGTGATTTGCACTCAGAATCCCATTGATTTTCCCTAAAAGCATCACTCCACTAATGAGGATCCACTCTCTTGCTGGGGCTCTGCTGCCCGACCCCAGCCGGGAGGCTGCGGGTGAGCTGGCAGACAAGCAGGCAGCGATGGGGCTTAGGGCAGCTGGCTGAGCATTTGTCAATGGTAGATTAAATCCAGTGTGCAAGATGAATGTGAAAATGAAACACGGCTTAACAGAAGCACGAGGAAAATTCTCCTTTGGCGTACAAATAGATTCTAGATCTTGTCGGCATGCTGCAAATTATGTTGAATTAAAAAAAATGACACGGTTGAAGGATGTGTTACTCTGAGGGGGAAAACTGCAGGAGGTGTTTGGAGAACGTGTGTTGGGAGAAGTTGGGATCCAGGGCCTTGTATTTAGGAAATTTTTCTTGGCAGACTTGACGTGGAGTTGTAGGCTGTTTCTTGTACGCACCACGCATAGCTCCCTGGGCGCTCCGGAGCTGAATACACGGGACAGACAGAGGGTTGTTGTGGACAGCCCGCTGGCGTGCAGAGCAGCCGTGGTGACTCCAGCAGGAGCCAGAACAGCGTGACCCGGACATGGAGCGTTTAGGGGTGTAGTGTGGACAGCGCGGGTATCCCGGACGCGGCTTTCTCAGGGACATTGGTTGTTGATGGGAGGGGGGCAGTGAGAGGGGTGCCGGCCTCAAGCGGCCGTGTCACATCGCAGCAGTTCCCGTACACGCCACCGCGGCGGGTGCCTGCTCGGGCTCGGACCGGACCGGCTCTCCCTGCCGCGGGGCGAGTGTCGTTGGGACGCGCCGGGCAGTCGCCGCGGTGCGAGGTTCCAAAAATTGCGCCGCGCACGGAGCGGGCGCCGCTGTGTTGCTTTAGGCGTTAGCAGGGCTGCCCTCACTACACGCTCATTGAGCAGCCGCGCAACCCCCAGATAAGGACGGTTGAGGGGCCCGTGTGGCCGCGCCGCCCGTAGGGGAGGGCGAACTGCGGCCAAGGTCGCGGCGAGGGCCGGCGCGCCCCCGGCCCGCTCGCTCCCGCCAGCCGGCTCGGGGCCGCGCTCCGCGCGGGGTCGCGCGGGAAGCGGCGGCTCGGGGCGGCCCCGCGCCCGGTTCGAGCCCATTTGAGGGCGGCCGTGGCGCTTACCCAGAGTGCTCCGCGCGTTGCGGTGCTCATTTGCATAGGGGCGGGGCAGCCGCGCGGGCGGCAGCGGGGCCGGGGCGCGCCCCCTGCTGGGCACCCGCGGGCCTGGCCGGTCCGGGCCGTGGGGATGATGGAGGTGGTCTGTGCGGGGCGGGTGTGCCCCTGCTCCCCGGGCTTGTACCCGGCCAGGGGATGCGCAGCGAGTGGGGATATGTGCGTGCGCGATTATACACACACCTGTGTGTGCGTACAGCGGGTGTAGATGGGGTTATATATATGGAGGTTTAGGTTAGATATCAGGAAAAGGCTTTTCACTCGCAGGGTGGTTGGGCACTCCAACAGGCTCCCCGGGGAAGTGGTCACAGCAACAAGCCTGATGGAGTTTCAGGAAGCGTTTGGATGATACTATCAGGCACGTGGTGTGATTCTTGGGGTGTCCTGTGCAGGGCCAGGAGTCAGACTCAATGATCCTGATGGGTCCCTTCCAACTCAGCAAAAAATGTAAAATAAAATTTAAAATCTAAAAATAAAAAAAATGTGTATATATGCCCATTTGTGTGTATGTACAGACCGCATAGACATGTATGTGTATATATGTACGCTTAGGTGTATGTACAGGGAGCTGGGCTGTGCTGGGACAACTCTGGTGGCACCACCTCAGAATCCTGGCTATACCTGACACTTCCAGGTATGACTGACCTCAGTGCTTCTCCAAAAGCTTAGAGAGAAATGTCTCATACCAGCATGATCCTGGTCTATAGGGTCTTGCCATGTGTTTCATATGCAGGGTACACAGTATATTCAGTATGTAATGTATCTTTTTGTAGCTCATAAATGTAATTAATCAGAGGGGGCTTTCTGATCTGCAGGCTGTCCTGAAGCTTCTCTCAAATAAGGTGTCTTTCCATAGATTTCAGTTATGTTATGAAAGAGTTGAGTTTAATTTCTGCCAGTGAATAATTAAGCAGCTCCTAGTGCATGTTTTCTAACTGTAATTGTAATAATTGCAATTAATTAGAAATGTTAATTACAGCAAATACCGCAGGAGTTATGTATATGGTTTGTGTACACTGGACATGTATATGTATGAATTTAGCATTGTGCAGCAATTACAGCTGTAGTGCACACTAAAACAGTGTCTATCCTGTGCTTGCAGGTGGTTCTCCTGGGGATTGACATCATTTCCGCACTCGTGTCCCGCTTGCAAGATCGCTTCAAGGCGCAGATTGGCACAGGTGAGGGGGCTGTGTGTGAATGTCCCCGGTGCTCTGCTGGCATCCCCTCTGGTGCTGTACACAAAGCTTGGTTTCCCCCCAGGAGAGCACTCAGGAGGCTCTGGGTGGTTTCAGGCTCAGCTGAAGGGCAGCAGGTCTGATTCCTCCATTGGGTGGGGGGAGAGCAGAGGAGCTGTGCCACTGCACCAGTTTTTTCCTGAGGGATTTGGATGTTGCTGTTTTCTTTCCTCAGTGCTGCCAAGTTTACTTGATAGACTGGGAGATTCTAAAGACTCTGTGAGGGAGCAGGATCAGACCTTGCTGCTGAAAATCATGGAACAAGCTGCTAACCCTCAGGTATGTTCGACAGTCCTCTACAGCATGAGTGACTGGCTGTGTAAAAAAGGAAAACTTTTTTCTGTCAGACACCTTTCTCTTGTGGCTCTGTCTGAAATGGCTTCATCTCCCTACGCCTTGTTACGAGATATTTGCCTCACTTGAGAACACTGTTGCATGACAGGATACACATGGGAGTGTGAGTGTCAGTGGATTTCCCAGGGATGGGATGGGGTGTGTAGACATCAGAGTAGTTGTGCTGGGTCTTTGGAAGGTACTTGCTTTCTGTAAGTATGAATATTGTTTTAGGTAGTAGGGAGTTACTGTGGAGTCAGCATAGAACAAAAGAATTAGTCAGATCTAAAAGTGTCTTGCTACTTCTTGTCCTGTTCTACTTGGATGGGCCTAAATCTTACATTTAAGTTCCAGAGATGGCGTGGTGTATGTCTGCTGGAAGAGAGAATCTGTTTCTTCCCCCACTGTCTGTTTTTCCTGTCTCACTCCCTCTTTCTTCCACAGTACGTGTGGGACAGGATGCTCGGAGGATTCAAACACAAGAATTTTCGGACAAGAGAAGGGATTTGCCTCTGCCTTATTGCAACACTCAATGCGTAAGTGAGAACCTTCTGCAAACCGGTGTTGTGTACACAAGCCTGCTCTGTGATTCACAGTGGTGCTCTTTTGTTCTTTATTCCCAGATCTGGAGCTCAGAGTTTAACACTGAGTAAGATAGTGCCACATATATGTAACTTACTTGGAGATCCAAACAGCCAGGTAAGCTTTTGCTGGGAGTCACATCTAAAGGTTGTGCTGGTTGCCTTGTTGGTAAGCAGGGCTATGCGTTTTGCCTGGTAAATCAGCTCACTGTGCTGCGGTGAGCTCTGAACAATGCTGTGCATGAAGAGCCCTTTGCTGGTTTTGAAGAGCATATCAGTTACTCCAGGAGTTCAACAGAACAACATGAATCTGCAGGCGAGATGAACAGAGCAGGAAGCCTTTGTGGGAAAGGAACTCCTGTGCCTTACAGCCTTGAATACAGGGGAGGTTGCAGGGATCCCTCTGGGCTTGGTGCAGCACCCCTCACCTTCAGACAACAACCAGGCTGTGCAGGGAGAGCAAATGGGACCAGTCGGACAGCCTGGCCGTGTGTGCTGCCAGAAACTGTACAGGAGTGTTCTCAGCAGGGAGTGAAGACAAGTGTATGGAAACCTTAAATCAGCAACGCAACCCAAATGAAAATGCAACTGAATAAAATTTGTTCCTTCTATGTGCCTTTTGTCCTACTTAAAGTTAGATGCAAGTATGTGAGGTTAGTGAGGAGAGGGGGATGGGGAAGCAGGATTCAAACCCATATCGTGTAATGTGCACTAGCAGTTTTTCAATAGCCCTGTTGGTTCCCCTGCCAACATGAGTGACACATAATGGGATTCAGGTCTGGAGCTGGTGTTCAGCTGGAAGGAGGTGTGGGCTGTCCAACTGGGGAATGGGTTTCCCATGGCTCTGGGGAGTTGGCCATATTCCCCTGGCTGTCAGGGCCTCCCCTTGCTGAAGAGGAGGACTGAGTGTGAAACAGCCTTCCCTTGCTGCTTGTGCCAGTGCAGGAAGATAAATCCATTATTGCGAGAGAAGTTTCTGAGAAAGTTTAATATTCAGGGTCCTCAGGTTCTGAGCTGAGACTAAGCAAGCTCTTACCCTTCAAGGGGATACTGGGTTTAGGGCTTGGGTGTGTTGAACAGCCAGATGCCTTGATCCTTTCATTGGTGAGCTGTTGAATGAACTGGGAAGTTGTTGTTTTCCCTCTGCGCTGCCTCTTCCTTGTACCTGGCACAGCTCATTATCCCATATCCAGCTGCAGGAATGAATGGGGCTGATCTCTCCCTTTCTTCTGGATCTGTTTTCTCGTCCTCAGAAAGCCCATGCCTGAACTGATCAGACACAAAATCGCTGTCCAAGTGGCTCCTGGTGGAACAGGGCCTGTCCGGGGTCAGGGCTTGGTCCTGTGCTCCCGTAGGGCTGCTGTGCTGCTGGTGCCTTCTGAGGGCTGGGAGAACTGCTGCTCGGTCACTGCTGCCCTCTCTTGGAGAGAGGACAGAGAACACATCCAGGTCAAGTTCTTTGTTGTGGATGTGGGAGCTGTTCCATTACAGCTCTTTTCAGAAGGAGTGCTTTTGTTGTTTTCAGCTAATGCAGTTGTGTAACCCAGTGTGCATCTGGTGTGACAGCAGTATTTAAACTCTGATTACCTTCTCAAAAATAAAATTGGGATTGAGTCGAATGTTCAGGGTTTTTTTGACTAGGAAGCAGGGCACATGTGCCTGCCCTTTGAATCTCACCTATAGGCAATTCCAGCTTGTGTCCATGAGATATTCCATGTCTAGTCACAAGGCGTGCAGGTGTGTGGGTAACTGCCAGACCATCTTCTGAGAAGCAGAAGTGCCCAGCTGTGTAGGTGTTTCTTCAGGCAGAGCAGATAGTTTACCTTCTCTGCCTGCTGTGCGTGATAGAGGAAAGGGGTTAAGTACAGAAAGGTGACACTTTAATCAGATTCATGTCTCTTTGGTGGTTTGGAAGGAAGGATGTGCTCAGCAGTTTCTTGCAGATCAGTTTGGAAAACATGCAAAATTAATGGTGACTCAAGTGAATGATTGCTCCTCCCTCCCTCCCTCCATGTTTTGTTATCAACATAGAAACATAAGTTTGTAAGACAGATTTAAAAGTCAGTTTGTTTTATAATGCCCAAGTAATACAAGGCCTATTCGTGTTTCTCTCCTTTTTTCATCCAATAAATGTACCTATTGCACACAATGGCTTGAATTTGGCAAAGGCAGCTAAGCTCCCTATGTATGAAACCTTTCATCTTATGCCTTCACTGCCTTTTCAATTAAATTAGACCTGCTGATACTGCTAATATGTGAAATGCAGGGTTGGAAGCTCCTTCGTGAACCTTGTGGTAATGTCTATAGTGGCCCCTGTTGTTGCTGAGAAATATGCAAATTTAGTAATCTGAGGTAGGACAGGGATTTAGTTATTTAAATTGTAAAGATGATTGATTTCGCTCATCTCTCACATTCAGGTTCGAGATGCAGCAATAAACAGCCTCGTGGAAATTTACAGACATGTTGGTGAGCGTGTAAGGGCTGATCTCAGTAAAAAAGGATTACCACAATCTCGGTAAGTTGAGAATGTCCTTATGTCTTCACTGCTTTTGGCCTTCATTTTATTACCTTCCTGCCTGCCTTTAGAAAGCTTTGGGAGCTGTGGGATTGAACCTTTTCCTGGGATCAGGGTTTGATTTTTCTTCATCTCAGAAACACTCAGGCTTCACTTAATGTGGATCCTGTGCCTTTGCCCATGTATGTCACAGCATCTGTGGAAAACCAGTAAAATTATTACAAGTATTTAGTTAAATGATTTCAGATTAAATTATTTTAAGATTTTTTCTATATGCTCTGCATGTATAGAGAGGACACTTCAAATTAGCCTGTGTTTGCGCTAAAAAACACAGTAAAAATAGTCAGTTTTAAGGTTTTATTAAAAAAAAAAACAAACACCCCCCCAAAAAAAGTCCCTAAAAAACCCAAACAAAACCCAACCAACCCTACATCAAAACCAAAGCTGTGTTCCTCTGCTCTGCCATTTCAGGTAAGAAAGCTGCTCTGCATCTTGCCTCCAGTGCTCAGGGTGGAGCATGGTTAGACCTGAGGCTGGAGGAGGTGGCACAGGGGAGGGGAAGAGGTGGTTTTGGAGGTGGGGTGCATGCAGATGGAGGCAGCACTGTTGCCTCTTGTTCTCCAGTGAAAACATCTGCTCCCACAATGTGGCTCAAAGTAATAAACTCTCTGGGAAGGAATAATGAGAGGTGATAGGAATCTTCTGCTCCACCAGGCCTGTGACATAAATGGGAAAGTGTCAGGGGCAGAGACAAATGTTGCGTGAAGTTGTTTGTTAGGTGTGTGTCTTGTGGTATTTCTGCAAATAGCTAAGATAGGCAAAGTGGTGATGAACTGGAAATGCATCTACAATTAGCCACGTCACATCTTCAGTAATGTAGTATTTCCAATTATATCTCTTACACCTCTTTAGTATCAGTTGTTTCTCAGTTCTTCTAATCAGTTGTTGCATGTTGATATTTTTTTTTAAATTTTAAAATAGCTTCCTTCCACACTGACACTTTGACCGTGCTCCCAATGAGCTGAGTGAAGCCAAATTTGTCCGATAACATCTTCAGATGTTAGAAGATAGCTGCCCAGGGAAGTGGTGGAATCACTGTCCCTGGAAATGTTTAAAAGCCATGTGGATGTAGCACTTCAGGACATGGTTTAGTAGTGAACACAGTGGTGCTGGCTTAAAGGTTGGACTCGATGATCCTAGAGGTCTCTTCCAACCTTAGTGATTCTATGATTCTAATATTCCTAAAAATAAATTCAGTTGTTCATTGTGTATTCCTTTAACTTTCAAACAGGTTGAATGTAATTTTTACAAAATTCGATGAGGTCCAAAAATCTGGAAACATGATCCAGAGTTCAAGTGGTGAGTAGAAGTACTTCTATTCTCTTTTGGTGTTTTTAGCAATTTTCACTAGTATTTTGCTTACTTTAGTAACAAGTGTTGATTACTACTTTTTGTATTGATAAGCTTATGAGCTAGAAAGTAATCTTAATAGGTATCGCTCCTTGTTTAGGAATAGATTTTTGAGAGAATTCTTGGTGAGGAAATTCATCCTTTGCCAGGAGCTGAGTAGAGCAGAGATGAAGAACCTGAGTTCAGAACTGCGGGTTCCTATCAAGCTCACACCCTCTGCAAGGCCAAGAGCAGGAGAGGTGATGTCCCCAGTCATTCCCACCATGCTCTCAGAAGCCAAGAGGGCTGAGAGGTCTTTGCTCTTTTAAATTGAAAAAAAATGTCCTTTTCACTTCTAGGCACCATTCTTGTTTCCGTATCAATTTTTAAATACAGTAGACTTCATCCTCGCAGGAAATAATAAAATCAACTTATTTGAAAATCCTGAAGTTATAGTTTGGATTATTCAGAAACGTGATGTGATATTCTCTTGTATGTTTGGGAACAATGAAGGCCTAGTACAGGTTTCTCAAATGGAATGGGTTAAAATTATCCCTTTGCATAATGTGGGAAAATTTTGTCTGTACAGGTAGATGAGGCTTACAGGGGTAAAAAAATGCAGTTGAGAAACAAGTGTCCTTGTACTTGTTTGAAAGAGGGGGAAAGTAAATATTTAATCCCTTAGCAAACTTCTTAAGGTTCACAACCTCCAGGTGATTGCTCTGAAATCCTAACTGAAACGGAAACAAGCTTACTGCTGATCCAACTTCTCTGCTTTCCACTTGGCTAGGCTAAAGTAAAATTTTTTGCTAGCAGTGAAGTAGAATGGGCTTTCAAAAAGAGAAAAAGCAATCTGATGCACCATTGTACTGTGTGTGTTGCTGTTGTTTGGAGTTCTATGAGACAGACTTGTGATCTGCAGTAAGACATATTGCTTCATCTAAAGCACCTGTGTATTAGATCTTCTACTTTTAGGCTTCACTGGAAACTGTTTTTTCCTTTATACCCCTTGGCCACTGTTTTGGTGAATTTGAAGATAAAACTTTTTGCGCATTGAGTGCCTGAGACCATATGATCCCCATCTCCTGTCCTTGACTTCACTGGCAGGCTTTTAGTGCTTCCAGACACAAGTACTCCTGTCTTCCTCACCTTGCTTAACCTGAGCCTCTGGTGTCTCCCTGGCTGGATGCAATCCCTGGAGTCTGTTTGTGTGTTTGCATTTCTCCTCCATTGCATCTCCTGTGTGGACACTGAGACCAAAAAGTAGCCAGGGGAAAAGGAGATGGTGAGAGTGGAGGAGTGGTAGGGGATCAAAGAGAGCAAAGGCTAAGATCTCCTATTGCTCTGCCAGAACATTTTCATCTTCCCTAACAATAAAAAAGTCTGTAATTGCAGAGTTAAAGCAGTTCTCATTTGTTAAGCTAATAATGACACCATTACTTACTAACATATTTTGTGTGTGTGTTTGAGGGGAGGGTTGCGTTTCCTGTAGTGCCATAGGCTGGTTTGTTTCTTCCTTGCCCCCCAAGCACACACAAACACAGCACACATGCTCGTCATATCTCATGTGTCAACAGCTCTGTGCAACTTTCAGTTTATCTTGGGGAGGTTGTGTAAAGCCAGCGAAGGAGGCTTATCTTCACCCATGGTCACAAGTTTATTAATGGCCTAGAGACAAGCTAAGTTTGTCAGGTTTCTTGTGTCCCTGACACCTTCTGCAGCTTTTGAACAAGGGTGACACTTTCAGCAGTTGTCAGAGTCACCAGGGAAGGTGATGATAAATATTGCACATCCAAAAGATTTGCCTTTCCCAGGAAATAGTGGAAATAGCTCTTAGTTTTGTTAACCCTTTGAGTCTGGCAGAGTGGTCGTGTGGGTGAGTGAGTCTGTGCTTTTCTGGTGGGTGGCCAAGAGCAAGGTGTTGGCTGAAGGGTCACTCATAATTGAGCAGTGGAGCTGTGCTAATTACAATGAGACTTGAAAGGGGTTGTCCAACCTGTCTTATTGCAGAACTGGACAGGTGGGAAAGCAAATGTGGCTTCTGGAATAGTGGAATAGGGTGAAAACTGGTCTCCTGGCTCTGAGACAAGACTGCAGTGTGGGATAACAGTTTCCTCTACCAGTTCGCTGAGTATTCAAGTAAAAGAAAGCAATTGCAGCAGCACTGTTTGTATATCAGGAGTGTTTTGGAGATAAGGGAGTTGCTGTAAGTTGTTAAAAGAGTTCCTATCTTGTTCCCAAGACACAAACAAACAGAAATCTTGCTCAGACTGCCAGAAAAGCAGCTTAAAATAATAGGACACTTTCACAAACCTAAGAATAAATGTAATAAATGAACTCTAATCAGATTGTGAATTTCAAGTCTCTGAAAACAATTTGTGTTTTGTATTTATGTATCGTTCTATGTTTGTGGTCCATTAATGCTTCTTTGAGTTTATCTTGAATTGTTTATTTTGTTTGACTAGGCTTTGTTTTTATCATTTAGTAACACAAGAATCAAATGCATAGTGGGGTGGGGGAGGTTTGCATAGTAATCTGAGGTGTTTCATTTAGTCAGAGGGAGGTTTTGGCATGCCCAAGTATGCTGCTTGTTGCTAGGCTACCAGCAGCCCTTATAGCTAGAATATGAAGTTAAAATCCACGCTGGATTTCTCGATGATTCTCAGTGCATCTCTGTTTTGTTATTTGGCATATAATTAGTCAGCCTCTTGAAGCAAAAATTATAGTTTTTCTCCCTTTGGGCTTTCAGCAAGCTAATTATTTTCTGTGTAACTGCTTTTGCTAATTATGCAGATGCCTTATTCCCCTGGGACAAATACATTTTCAGCATGAAAGAGCCAATAATTGCCAGCTAGTCAGCTGCTGTCTTCGTGTGGCATTGTGTGATGATCTTTAGTTGGATGTGATACAGAGAGAGAGGCTATTGGACACAGACTCCAAGGAATTCATGCTGCATGGATTTCCTTGGAATTATCTGGAAGGACCTTAACATAAAGTGTACAGGTTTTCCATGGATTTGAGTTGACTTTGGATCAGACCATGACTCCAGAAGGCTTTATAATCAAGTTTCAATACAGATTAATAATAAAATAAGTGATCTACTGAGAGATAATAGGCTGATAGCAGTTGATGACCCAAACCAAAGCTATCAGTAACCAAAATATTTTGGGATGTTTTTTATGCTTTTGATCATTGTGCTATATTAATATTACGTTCTTTGATGTAAACCTTCTTCTTTTTTTTTTTTAATATAGGTCACACAATTTTGGGAGATGCTTCTATATTTATGTGTGCAGGGATACTGCAGTGCTGTGCCTGTGGGAAGGGAGGGAATTGAACTTTCTTGTTGGTGATGAATTTTGACTTCGGAGAGCAAGATTTAGGGACAGTGGAGATGGTAGTGGTCTTGGGCTGCAAGAGAATCAAAGCAGGAGATCTTATAGTCAGAATTCTGGAGCTGAGATCTCTCCCCCGCTGATGCTTGCACGGAGTGAGGTGAGGGGAGGATGCAATTTTGGTAGCTGACTGTATGAGTGTGTGTTCTAAGAGTGAGCAAGTTAATTAAAATAGTGCTAAAATAGAAGATCCGATAATTTCAGTTAGTGAACACCTATGAAGAAGGAGCAGTGCTGCTTTTCAGTAGAACTGCATCTATATATGAGAAAATGTATAAGATAAATACCCTATTTGCTAAGTGTCTGTTTAGGCAGTTGAGAACTTGGAGTCACTTAGATGGAAACTAGAACTGTTTTAGATTTCTGTGCTTTGCTAGTAATAAAGTTGAGTAATTGAATGCTATTTTGATATTTATTATATGAAGGAATATCACCCACATTTGCCAAGTATTGCCATGCATCTGGGGGTGGGATATTGTTTGTTTGTCAGCACACATCCAAGCAGAATTGCAGACTGGAAGGAGGGACAGCTGTCTGTGGTAACACAGAGAGATTTTGAACCAGTAAATGCTGTGTTGTGCTTTTCTGCATTCATTCCTCCTTGTGCAATTTAAATTCCATTATGGCTTGTTTTCTGAATACGGTTTTCAGGTTTTCAAAGAAACAGAAAATTCATTTAATTGACTCAGCATTCTCATGGCATGAAAAAAGCAAGTAAATACCTCTTCACCTGTGTGGGACCTGAGAGAGGAGTAAGGTCTGATATCTGAGTGAGCACCATTAAGTGACAGTACATCCTTGTGGAAGGTATAAATGGACAAGGTGAGCTCTGCTCCCTTTCTGGCAGCTTTGTAAATAAGTATATTGCTGCCTCCTGGATCTTAAACTCTGAAATGTAGAAGGGAGGGGTGTGAGCAAGCAGGCACAGGAGGACACATAATGCTCAGCTGAATGCTGAGCAGGCTTTTATTTTGGAGGAGAGGTGGCAATCGCCTGCTAGGTCACACAGCGAAGTGGTGTAGGAGGGTGGCGAGTTTACTGCTGGTTAAGTTGCTGAGAGACATGTACTGTGGGGCTGCTCCCGGAGCACAGAGCCCTTCCCCAGCATCTCACCAGCACTGCAGAGAATGACTACAGGGAAAGGTAGGTGTTAATGAATGTGCCACTGGGATGGATGTGTTTATTTGTTAGTGTCTGAATATTTGACTGTTCTGTTTCTTTTTAACGGTGTGAAGAGACTGAAGCAATCTTGCAGTAAAAGTGGAACTTTAAAAAAACAGCCTGGAAGCATCTATAGCCTGGTGGCATCAAGCTTGGTTTAAGCTTCTATAAATTGTGGTAAATGATCTGTTTGATGGGGTGGAGGAAGAGGATGTGTGCATATGTAAGGGAACGGAACAGGTAGTGAGAGGTGAAGGACAGGTATTTTCAGAAACCCTTCCTGGTCTGTGATGTTTTTGAGTGATCACTGAGACTTTAATTTCCTAGCTGTTACCTTTTGCAGCATTGGTTGGGAAGAGTATTTAAATTGGTTATGAGTACTTTTGAATTGGAATCACAGTTCCAAGAATGTGC